CTACCTTCTCCAGACCCTGCCTATCTCTATTCCTTAGGTTTTTTTTGTCACACAATTGCACCAACTCTTCGCTGAATATGTATGGCATCGCCGACCAGAATTATTAAAATATACCGTACAATAAAACCTAAACATTGGGGAGGTTGGGAACTCCCTGACATGACCACATATCACACAGTAACTCACTTGCAACATTTCCTAGAATGGACAAATGCCTTTCCTGGTAAGCTATGGATATGCAGGGAGAATAGACTTTCTGAGACCATTCTGAGCATACAGCCCTGGCTTCCCTTGGCCCTGAGAGGGAAACTGCAAAATACCCATCCCACAACCTCGGCTACGATTATTTCAGTTTGGAGGAAGATGGAAAATTTACACTGGATTTCTCCTACTGTCTCTCGAATGTATCTGATTTCACATGATTTGATTGCATGACCCATGCCTGATTTCTACCTGCCTACAGATTAGTGTTGCCTGTACATACTTGGTTTCTCGTCATTTTACTTACTGGCATATTAGGTTTATTATTTTCTATATGCATAGTGCTGAATTAGCATTACTAACTGCAATGTCATCAATAAAAGTGACAAATTAAAAAAAACCAAAAAAACATGTTTTTATTTTATTATTTTTCCCTGCTTAATGGCACCAATAAATGTAAACTGCATTAGCCTATTACTGACAAAAAATGCATTAGAAATGTACAATCACTTTCAGTTCACACTTCCAGGGTTATTCAACTACGAATTTTAGTGAATTGATATTTCAGTGACAAAATCCAATCAAAATAAGCCAAGCTCTGACTAAAGCTAGTTAGAGAATATCTGTCTAAACATTTTTATGGGCCAAATTTTACCATTATGCTTTAATTTGTACAATAGAGAATTAGTTATTAAGCTACATTAGTGATTGACCCTAAATCATGACTTCATAATGCTATTCAGCAATCATGGGAAGCTTCCTTTTAACATTTGTTGAACATATAGGTCACCTTGTGGTAAATTCAGGAAATTACACGGATTTCAATTGACAGAAGTGAAGCACAGCAGTCCTATGAAATAACGAATATATTAATTTGTGTATGTGCATATTGGTCAGGCCAGGATTAATTACCAAAGAAAATATACAGTGTTTTGTTTTTAATTCACATTTTGTCCACAGAATAGAGAGTGTATTTAGAGGACACTGCTTGCCCAATTGCGATTGATACACTGAATTACAATTACAATTTTCATCCTTTTTTTATGGATACATAAATATGGTGGGGGAGGAGGGGCGTCACATAATGTAGGGGCTAGTCAGCCTGGCAACTTAAGGAGCATGACAATCTGTCTGGCCGGCCTCTTACTGACAAGACCTTGCAGGGAGTGCTGTTGAAGCTCTTCTCTGCATGGCCCCTGTGACACAGGGCAAGTGTGACAGTTCACTTGTGTCCCAGGATGTGGGATATGAGGGGACTAAAGTCGGACAGCACCCCAAAATGCCTCTCCATGCCAACATATGAACAATACCCCACCCAGCCTCTCAAAACCCAAGCAGTTTCCACATACAAAAATGATGCCATGCCATCTTTTCTCAGACACATATCACTTACATAAATTGAGGAGCAACTTATAGAAAGTGCTGGACTGTATTAAGTCAAATACTGGAGGTAGTAAATCAACCAGGAATCATACAACTCATAAATTTTACAGAATACAGGGCAGCATTCTCATATGCTTTCAGTCAACATGATGGAAATATGTGTGGCCAGGAAAGCATGGTGGCAGTGATGGAACTAATGTGGTATAAGAAATAGTTTTCGGCCCTCTCTAGCACAAGGGTGACCAAAAGGTAGATTCCCATCTGTCGAAGTCCCACAGTGCTATGTCAGCTGGGGATTTACCATTTACCAAGTGGCTGCGCATCCATAAGGTGGTTTCACAATGTTGAAATACTATGTCAAAGGGTTCCACAGGATAACTTCATTGGGAACCCCTGGTATAGAGTATAAGTGAATTTATTTGTATGTATTGTTGCCATTGGAATGTAGTGGTGTACTTTTATGTAGTGTTTACATTTGAATGAGGGGTGTGTTTGTATGTAGTGTTGGCTTTGACATGCAGTAGTGCTTTTGTGTGTAGTGTTGGTGTTTGAATGAAGGGGTGTTTATATATATTTTTTGGAGTTTGAATGTAGGTATGTGTTTGTATATAATGTTTGAAGATTGCAGGGATGTTTTGTATGTTACATAGTTACATAGCTGAAAAGAGTCTTGCGTCCATCAAGTTCAGCCTTTCTTACATTTGTTTTTGCTGTTGATCCAAAAGAAGGCAAAAAACCCCCAAAAAAACAGTTTGAAGCACTTACAATGTTGCAACAAACTAGGAAAACAATCCTTCTTGACCCCATAATGGTAGTCAGATTTATCCTTGGATCAAGAAGCTATTACCCTACATTGAAAAATTATATCCTTGTGTCGGTGTTTGATTGCTGGGATTTATGCACATACACACATGCACTGCCACATACACACATACTTACATAAATATACAGACGCATTAACACACACACAGATACATACATATAAACACACTGACACATACATTCAGATACACACATAGATACACACTGAAACATGCACACACTCAGATACACACACCGACACATTCACAAACCTTTAAACAGATACACATATGCACACACTGACACATACACACACCTTGACAAACACAGACACACAGATAGATAGATGTACACGTCATACTTTATATTTGCAGCCACCCTAATGTTAAGGTAACTTTTGTGTGCAGGAGGGTGGCTATCTTGGGATCCCGCTAATGCTGGCTGAGCAGGGACGTAATTGCCTCAAGCAAAAAACTCTGCCACTAGAGGTATTAACACTGTCTGTGCTGAGATAGGCTGTGGTAGGGGTATTAACACTGTGTGTGCTGGGATAGGCTCTTGTAGGGGTATTAATGACCTGGGGTAGGGGTATTAACACTGTAGTGGTAGGGGTATTAAGGACTAGGACTAGGGGTATTAAGGGGTAGGGGTATTAAGTGCTCTTAAAGGACCACTATAGTGCCAGGAAAACATACTTGTTTTCCTGGCACTATAGTGCCCTGAGGGTGCCCCCACCCTCAGGGACCCCCTCCCGCCCGGCTCTGGAAGGGGGAAAGGGGTTTAAACTTACCTTTTTCCAACGCTGGGCGGAGAGCTCTCCTCCTCCGATACGCCCCGCCGGCTGAATGCGCACGCGCGGCAAGAGGTCTTTACAATGCTTTCCTATGGACGCTGGCGTGCTCTCACTGTGATTTTCACAGTGAGAAGCACGCAAGCGCCTCTAGTGGCTGTCAATGAGACAGCCACTGGGGAAGCTTAACCCATTCATAATTATAGCAGTTTCTCTGAAACTGCTATAATTATGAAAAAATGGGTTAAGCCTAGCTGGACCTGGCACCCAGACCACTTCATTAAGCTGAAGTGGTCTGGGTGCCTAGAGTGGTCCTTTAAGTGTAGAGCGAAGACCGGTCCAAGATGGCTGCCGCATTCCTCACCGCTCAGCACACAATGCGACGTCTAGGTATTCTATGTCTATGCAAATACTTATACTGAGTATAAGAGATAGAGCTCCACACTAAAGAGAATGAATACCACCTGATAATACAGAATCTATGAAAGAAAAGAACTGTACATAGCGTTATACAGTACAGGAAAAATAAATGGGAAGGGAGGAAAGTGAGAAAACTCACAAGACGTCTGGTAAATCAGGCTTGTCTCCCCACAATAAGGGTGTATGTATGGAGTAGAAGTTCAGCTGGCAACTTTAAATAGTAAAGGAGAGCCAATAGCGTAATATAGTAAAAACAGACACTTTAACCCCTTAAGGACCAAACTTCTGGAATAAAATGGAATCATGACATGTCACACGTCATGTGTCCTTAAGGGGTTAAAGGACCACTATGGTGCCAGGAAAACATACTTGTTTTCCTGGCACTATAGTGCCCTGAGGATGCCCCCACCCTCAGGGTCCCAACTCCCGTTTCTCTGAAACTGCTATGTTTACTGCAAAAAGGGTTAAACCTAGCTGGACCTGGCACCCAGACCACTTCATTAAGCTGAAGTGGTGTGGGTGCCTATAGTGGTCTTTTAATGCTTAAAATTGCACTTACAAGAGAGCAATGAGTTCAAGCTTCTCTCTATGCAGAGTGTACCTGTAAGCAGTATATTGCAAAAGATCGGTGGAACACCAAACAGCAGCCTGGCAACAGGAACAAAAAAAAAACACACACAAGGGAGGCGAACAAATGAAAGTGAACACCTGGATGACCACACAAAGCCTACCATGTTTTATTGTTACTTCCTAATTTACGGAGTATCTCCTTTTTATTTTTTTTTGATTGTATAAAAACGTAAAAACCTTGACAGACTGCGGCCACAAAGAAGGCCTCCGAGCAACAGATACATCTCTTAACAAAGTATTCTCTCCTTCCTGTATCATTGAGATAATGCTGTATACCACAAAGTTTGGCTTTTGCACAAGCCCGAGTACTGTTCACATGCTGTAATTTCTGTCATTGCAAAATAAAGAATTATATAAAAAAACAAAAAAAAACCAAACAAACAAAAAAGTACCACGATTGATATCCAATGCGTTTCATCCGCTATATGGACTTCCTCAGGTAGTGAACTGAGAATTGAATTGCAAAAATGTATGCTAAAACATAAGATTTATTTTAAAAAAAATAAAAAAAGTCCTAACTTGTCCATTTCAGGATCAATTTTGCAAATCGATTTTCAGTTCACTGTAATTCACTATTTGCTTAAAAAACATACAAAAAACCCTTCCATTGATACTGTACAAGAATCCATCAAACCCTAAGCTGCTGTCTCTGCTACAAAAGCTGCAGAGCCGGCGACATGAATGCGGCGTGTTGTTTTATCTCTAGCGCGTAGAACTATATTTTGATTCCGCCAGTTCTAACCAATCAGGATGCACGCTGTCTCCAGTCCGCAGCCAATCTGTTGCCGGGAGCCGAGTCGTGTCCTGTCCCGGAAGCGGAAGCAGGAGAGCGTGAGCGGCGCTGCGGCACGAAGGGCCCGGAGGCCCGCGGGGAAAATGCCAGTGGCCGTGATGGCGGAAAATCCGGTGTCCTTCCAGAGGCTGTTAGAGCAGTGCGAGGAGCAGGAGCTTGAGGTGAAGGGCTGGCCGCGGGTGTAGCGCTCTGTCTGTGTGAGAAGGCAGAGAATAACACATGACATGATACGGCCTGCCTGCCCAGTGCATGGGGAGCTGGGAACTCCCTGAGCAGCAGCCACATACATACCATATACATACCATCATTGCCGTCACTGGCGGGCTGTACACTGGGAGGACATACCATCATTGCCGTCACTGGCGGGCTGTACAGTGGGTGGACATACCATCATTGCCGTCACTGGCGGGCTGTACAGTGGGTGGACATGCCATCATTGCCGTCACTGGCGGGCTGTACAGTGGGTGGACATACCATCATTGCCGTCACTGGCGGGCTGTACAGTGGGTGGACATACCATCATTGCCGTCACTGGCGAGCTGTACACTGGGAGGACATGCCATCATTTCCGTCACTGGCGGGCTGTACAGTGGGTGGACATGCCATCATTGCTGTCACTGGCGGGCTGTACACTGGGAGGACATGCCATCATTGCCGTCACTGGCGGGCTGTACACTGGGTGGACATGCCATCATTGCCGTCACTGGCGGGCTGTACAGTGGGTGGACATGCCATCATTGCCGTCACTGGCGGGCTGTACACTGGGTGGACATGCCATCATTGCCGTCACTGGCGGGCTGTACAGTGGGTGGACATGCCATCATTGCCGTCACTGGCGGGCTGTACAGTGGGTGGACATGTACATCATTGTACAGTGGGTGGACATACCATCATTGCCGTCACTGGCGGGCTGTACAGTGGGTGGACATACCATCATTGCCGTCACTGGCGGGCTGTACAGTGGGTGGACATGCCATCATTGCCGTCACTGGCGGGCTGTACAGTGGGTGGACTAACAGACATGTAATTATAACCAGACAACTGGACGTACAGGAACAGAGAGGTGGAGGGCCCTGCTCAATGAGCTTACATTCTAGAGGGAGTGGGGTATAGTGACACAGAGGGTAAAAGTAGGGGTACAAAGTAGGGGTACGAAGTAGGTTGTTAGAAAAGTATTAATTGAGGGCTTAGTAGGTAATTTTTGACAGTTGCAGGAGAGGAGTCATGGAGGGTGGGGGATCAAAACCTGCTAACATTTTAATTGATATGCTTTCTTGAAGAAGTGAGTTTTCAATGATTTTTTTGAATGAGTGGAGACTGGGTGAAAGTCTTATGGAGAAGGGAAGGGAGCTCCACAGAAGAGGTGCAGCCCTGGAAAAGTCTTGGAGGCGAGCGTTAGAGGTGGGAGTACGGACAGAGAATATATACGTAGGTCTTTGGCAGAGCGTAGAGGCCTCAACGGGACATATGTGTGTATTAGGGAGAATATGTAGGTTGGAGCAGCATTATGTAGGGACTTGTAAGCAAGCACCAGAATTTTAAATTGAGCCCTATATCTAACTGGAAGTCAATGCAGGGACTGACTGAGTGGGGAGGCGTGAGAGGTGCGGGCGGAAAATTTACAGTTGGAAGGACCTATAAATGGTAACAAGACTAACCAGCAACATTTAAAGCAACAGTCTGGGCACCATAACTTCTTGAAAATTATGTTGTTATGGTGCCAGTGGGTCACTGGCGCAGTCTCACCTTTTGGGAGTTAAATCCTTAAAGGACCACTCTAGGCACCCAGACCACTTCAGCTTAATGAAGTGGTCTGGGTGCCAGGTCCTTCTAGGGTTAACCCATTTTTTCATAATTATAGCAGTTTCAGAGAAACTGCTATAATTATGAATGAGTTAAGCCTTCCCCCTAATCCTCTAGTGGCTGTCTCATTGACAGCCACTAGAGGCGCTTGCGTGCTTCTCACTGTGATTTTCACAGTGAGAGCACGCAAGCGTCCATAGGAAAGCATTGTAAATGCTTTCCTATGCGACGGGCTGAATGCGCGCGCAGCTCTTGCTGCGCGTGGCATTCAGCCGGCGGGGCGGATCGGAGGCGGAGAGGAGAGCTCTCAGCCCAGCGCTAGAAAAAGGTAAGTTATTACCCCTTTCCCCTTTCCAGAGCCGGGCGGGAGGGAAAACGAGTATGTTTTCTTGGCACTATAGTGGTCCTTTAACAAAGGGTTTAAACACAAAGTATGTGATCCGGCTCTGGAACGCAGGCTTTTGGGGTTAAAGCGACAATGTAACGGTCTGGGGACTCTGCCAAATTCACAAATAACCCTAACGGTGACTGCGGCTGAGGGTCCGGTGGCTGTGGGGGCAGATATTTACTTACCTGAATCTGTCATTCGTGGGCTCTGCCATCGTGTTCCAACGGGACCTTCAGCTTCGACGTCACTGCTGTAGTCTTCTGCATGCGTGTGTACAACATTGAGGTCTATGGAGGATTCCTCACTAGTCACTTGTGACTGCTGTAGGGATTGTCTCTGTAATTCCGCCCTGAGTATAAGAAAATCAGAGGGGAAATACAGAGACAGACCTGTCCCTACTTTGTCTTGGTATATCTCTTGACTGTGTTGGGATTTCAGTGACATTACAACATAGCCATAATTTAGTATTTAATAAAGATTCTATCCTTGTCAAATACTAATTTTTCAGGAGAGATTACAATTTCGCGTTAAACTGTTACAGCCCTAGTTGCACTTCCTCTACACGGTCTCCCCCAGATAATTCATGTTAAGGGGACACTATATTCACCCAGACCACTTCAACTCAATGAAGTGGTCTGGGTACCAGGTCCCTCAGGTTTTAACCCTTCAGATGCAAACTGTTTACATTTGGGGCCACTAAAGGCGCATCTGCGACGCTGGAGGCACATTTCGACTCCATCGCGCAGAGCGTCCATAGGAAAGCATTGAGAAATGCTTTCCTATGGACACTTTTCGCACGTGGCACTTGCCGCGCATGCACATTCGGCTCCGCTGACGTCGGACAGGGGAGCCGACGTCGGCGGGGGAGGAGAGGTCACCAGCGCCGAGGGAGCCCGGCGCTGGATTAAGGTAAGCTGCTGAAGGGGTTTTAATAATCTGTTTATTTTAGAATGTATGTCCTCCTCTGTCATTAGTCTGCAGGAATCTTCTGTGTGTGATTTAAAGTTTAATAGAACAGGAGATAAAAACTTCTAAAGTAAACACTCTGTACTGTGACATCTAAGTGAAAATGAAACCACATTTCCATGTTGGCTGGGTATGTCACAGCCTGGGGAGATGTGACTAGGGCTTTCATAAACAGAAACAAAGTACCTCTCAAATGGCAGAGAATTGAGCAGTGAGAGTGTAGTGGCATGATCTCTAAAGTTACACTATAGTCACCAGAACAACTACAGCTTATGGTAGTTGTTCTGGTGTCTGTCTGTCAATGCATTCATTTTAATTTAAACACTATTCTTCCGAGAAAAGGTAGTGTTTGCATTATTGCCTTGGAACACCTCCAGTGGCAGTCACTCAGATGGCAACTTAAAGGTTCTTCCTGGGTCAGTGCTGATGTTCAGTGTCTCCATGCAGAGTGTGAAGATGCTGAATGTTCCCTATAGGTATGCATTGATTTACTGCATCTCTATGAGGAGATGCTAATTGACGTGAAGTTTGGCCGTGCATGCACACTAGCCTCCCAATGCTTTCCTAAGGGAAAACATTGGATTGACTGAGATCATCAAATTTGTCAATGAGGCGGAGAGGGAGCAGAACCAGCTGCAAGGAGATCCGTGCGGCGCTGGAAAAAAAGTGAGTATATCAACTTCTTACGCCCGGGATGATATACGGCTATTTAAAACCTAAAGAAGGGGTTTTTTTTTAATTTTTTTATATCTGCCATTATTGTTTTCCTTTAACCTACCGTTGTTTTGGTGCTTAGATTTAACTTAAACTTCCCCATGTTACTTGGCATATAATGACTTGTGTTTATTTTTTCTTGTCAGGCTCCAGGTGGTATTGCAACACCTCATGTGTACAGTCAACTTTTGGCACTATATCTTCTACATAATGACATGTAAGTTTATACTTCTAAACCCCTGTCTTGCTTTGATGTCATTTGTAAGCATTTCTGTGGCACATATCTTTAAAAGAACAGCTTGGTTAAAAAAAATCAAATACATACCTAATACGAATAGGTTTGTGGATTTTTAATTGTAATTTTATATACATTTTTTACTCAATTCTTTATGACACTTCTCATAGAGGGCATATCTGTATTCCTAACTCTATAGTGTCTCTGTCTGTAGCTTAAAATAGATTTTTACCTCCACGTCTCAAAAACAAATACAACAGTTTGACTTTCATTGTGTCCATTATGTCAAATGTCTTGGGAGAAAGAATTTACCTTCAAATTACCCTTACGGCATGCAGTGCTATACTGTTTAGTTCTGGTGTTCCTTATCCCTTTGATGCTGTACACTGGTGGTGCTCCGTTCACACAGTTCAACTAAAAATGGGCAAGCTTTAAAGGGACACTATAGTCACCAGAACTCATACAGTTTAATGTAGATGTTCTGTTGAGTTTATTCATTCCTTGCAGGCATTTTAATGTAAACACTGCATTTTCTCTGAATTTACATTACTGCCTAGGGACATATCAAGTGGCAGTCACTCAGAAGGCCACTAGAGTTGCTTCCTGGATCACTGCTGCACACGTTGAATCGATGCATCTTTATGAGGAGATGCTGATTAGCGCAGATCGGCATTTTGCTGTGCATTTGGGAAAGCATTGGATTAGCTAAGATCATCAAGTTTGATGGTCTCAGACAAGGGTTCAGAGCGTGGACGGGGCCATCCACGACCGGACCTGCACAGTGCTAGAAAAAGGTGTGTAAGTCACCTTTTCAACTGGAGATAAGGGGGCTGCCAGGGGCCTAAACAGCTATTTAGACCTTTAGTTTCAGGAATACACACTTGTATTCCTGACACTATAATGTTCATTTTAAAGGAATAATAAATGTATTTTATTTTATAATATCTTAAAATGTTTTTTAGAAGCTGTTGTTCCCGTAGATGTTACTGTATACACATTGTCCATCTAATCACTGCCTCCACAAACTACCTCCTTTCTAAGCCTTGTGAACAAATTTAAAAATGATTTTTCCTCGTTTGTTAAACAGTGTAAATTACAAATATCAAAAAAGATATTTAATGAAGAGTAAATATGATGTTATGCTCAAAGGGACACACTGTAGGCAACAAAATAACTTTTTAGCTTAATGAAACAGTTTAGGTTTATAGATCATGCCCCAGCAGTCTCACTGTTCAATTCTCTGCCATTTGGGAGTTAAACCACTTTGTTTCTGCAGCCATAGTCACACTTCACTGCATGTGACTTGCACAGCTTTCCTAAACACTTCCTGTAAAGAGAAATCTAATGTTTACACTTTATTGCATTTTCTGTTTAACTCAGAATTTCTTATATTCTTCTCTGTTAATAGCTTGCAGGAGACTGTAGCCTTATTAGATAATTACAATTTTGCAAGCTGGCTGCTGCTAATTCCATTTTTATTTTAATTGAACGTCTATGTGACTGTTCATCTTTGATCCAGAGCCGAGGTTCCCTTGGCGTGGCTGACCTTTCTTCCTGTTGACATCACGGAGAAGGTCCTGCCTCATCCTGAGGGTCAAAACCAATGCTCCTCTCCGAGGAGCATTGGGGACTTAATGTGTCATGCGCAGTCAAACTTTCCCATAGTAAAGCATTGAATCAATGCTTTCCTGTGGGGCTTCCGCATCACATGACTGAGTTTTTTACTCTGTGACATGGAAGCGCCTCTGGTGGCTGTCCCTATAACCGCCACTAGATGAGAAGTTAGTCCTGCAATGTAGACATTGTGGTTTCTTAAACTGCAATGTTTTACACTACGGGGACACTGCACCTACACTACTTAATTGAGAAAAAGTAGTGTGCCAGTGCACACGCCACACACTATAGGGGAGGGCAGAACACTAAGCTCCAAATATTTATGCATTAAATCCAAAAGGTAACAGTGTATTGCTATGACTGCAGCGGAGTTGGATTATTTATCCAGATCAGCTTTTTTGGCCTTATTTACTAAACTCTGAATTTTTAATGTCCAGGTCGATGCAGGGTCCCTGAATTTGCTAATTTTGCATTTTGTGTCAGGACAAGAAGGTTGACATGGTGGACAAGTAGATTGGGAGACAACTCTATTCCCTTAGATTTATTTATTTTTTCTAATTTCCACACCCCTGAGAACTTAGAGCGATATGAGTGTTCTTGCATACTATTCTCACATGTTAATTGTCATTTTATAACATTTTTAGTTTGCATGCCAGCAAATCAAATGCCAAGAATGTAAATTGTGGAGAATTAACAGGCACATGTCGCACCACAGTACGATGTGCATGTCGAATGACATAAGTTTCAGGGCTTCTGAATGTTTGACCTTCACACAATTACTTGGTTGTTCTTTCTTCAACAATTTGTTTGTATCTTATCAGGAATAATGCTCGTTATCTATGGAAAAGAATACCACCTTCAATTAGATCGGTAAGTATTGTGTACAACATTTTAATAAAAATAAATTGCATACTTAAATGTTTAATTGTATTCCAGTTGCATTGCATTTCTCTCAAACCCTTTCATGATAATTTAGGAAATACTCAGAGATAAGATTGCTTTAAACCATAATTAATTCCACATATTTAGTAACAACATATGATATCATGTTATTCTTTCATTGAAATTGTAAGTAGGTAAGTATAGCTCCATTTTGATTCCCCTCAGGCTGCCACATGCCTAGTGATCATGTCATTTTTGGGGGTCATTGCAAAATATGCAAGACCCACTTTTAAAATCTGTAACGTTTTCCTGTCTTTTTGAAGAATTTATCAGTAATCCGTTTTATTATAAAGTTTTGTGAGCAAAAAGCTGTGATCTCTATTGTGGAACTGACCTTTTTTTTTTAAGGTAGTTATATATTAAATGATGTAACTAAGTTTACAAATAATTTTTCATAATATTTAAAGTGCAACTGTGACAAAAATATTTAAAGGGACAGGAAACCTTTTCCTTCTGTGATCAAGGAAGTGAAATATCATTTAAGTGTTACTAGCTCCAACCCCAGTTAAAAAAAAAAAAAAAAAAAGAGAGAAAAGCTGAGTAAAACAAGGTATGGTTTTTCTGAATGGAAAAAAACAGTTTGCAAATCACTCTGCTTTATTTTAAAGGAACCATGTACTCACTATAAAAACATTATTTAAATGAAGTTGTTATAGTGCCTACAGTTGTCTCCTCCCTCCCCCCCTGCACAGTGCCATCATGATCTGGCATATGATGCATGAAATGATTCACTATAGAAGAAACCTAGGCGCATTGTGATGAGCACTGCACGTGCTTCTATAGTCCCCAATGGTCCTCTTTGAGGAACATTGGATTGGATCATCATCCACACCTCTAGGATAACATCAGGCGAGGGGGAACCGCAGCAGCACCGAGGAAAGTTCAGTGCTGTAGTGAAGGTGAGTAAAATATTTTTTTGCAGTGAAGGCAGGTGAAGGGACTTAGAACTAAGTAGGGTCATTTAGACTGTAGTGTTATGAATAAAGATATGTATTCCTAATGCTACATTGGCCCTTTAAACATGAACAGAAGTGGTTACAATATGGTCGTTTTTATTAGAACACTGTATACAGTATTGCTGTAAATGAAACTGGAAGGGCAATGTCATGAAACCATGGAATGTGGTTGACATTTAAATAATGTATACATAATTTAGAATCCAGTAGAAATAAAGTAATACAGTGCAAGATGCACAACAATGTTGTTAATCTTTTATTTGTGCTCTCTCTTTCAAATGAGTCAGCCCTTTTTAACATTTCTAGTAACCCTTTTACACTTTTTGCATATTTATGTGTGGTTAATTGGGTAATGATTGCTAATTTAAATTTCTAGTTGAGCTAATTACATTTAATAAAGATAGCATTGGGGTACATGTATCTGTGTAATCATTATCGATCTTAATCAATTAGGTAAGAAAACTGATATCATTCACTCTTGCCCCACTCCAGTTTGTACCGTATTTTTCGCTCCATAAGACGCACTTTTTTTCCCCTCAAAAGTGAGGGGAAATGTCTGTGCGTCTTATGGAGCGAATGTGAAGAATTACTTACCTGTCTTGGAGCGTGGGCCGGCTTCACAGCGCGCTCCGCGGTCCAGGAACTTCTATTTCAGGTTCCGGTTTCCGGCGGGATTGAAAGGAAGTGTGCACACTCAGTGCACACTTCCTTTCAGTCCCGCCGGAAACCGGAACCTGAAATAGAAGTTCCTGGACCGCGGAGCGCGCTGTGAAGCCGGCCCACGCTCCAAGACAGGTAAGTAATTATGGGACAAGGGGAGGGGGACACTATGGGAGAAAGGGAGGGGAGGAGACACTATGGGACAAGGGGAGTGGGAGACACTATGGGATAAGGGGAGGGGGACACTTGAAAGGAGACACCTTATGGAGAAGGGGTAGGAGGGAGGAGACACTGGCGGGACAAGCGGAGGGGGGAGTGAGAGACCATGGGACAAGGGGAGGGGAGGACACTCATGGGACAAGGAGGGGAGGAGACATCTTCATGTGACAAGGGGAGGGGAGACACTATGGGACATGAGGGGACATATGGAGAAAGGGAGGGGAGACACTATGGGACACAAGTGGAGGGGATACACCTATGGGGACAAGTGGAGGGGGGGAGACACTATGGGACAAGGGGAGGGGACACCATGGGAGAAAGAGGGGGGGACACTCATGGGACAAGCAAGGGGAGGAGGGGGACACTAAGGAGAAAAGGAGGGGAGACACTATGGGACAAGGGGAGGGGGAGACACTATGGGACAAGGGGAGGGGGACACTATGGGACAAGGGAGGGGAGACACTATGGGACAAGGGGAGGGGGAGACACTATGGGACAAGGGCAGGGGGGGACACTATGGGAGGGAAAGTGCACTATGGGACAATGGGAGGGGGGGACACTATGGGATCAGAACACTAATGGACAAGGGGAGGAGGGGTTAAAGAACACTATGGGACAGGGTAGGAGGGGTTAACAATCACTATGGGACAGGGTAGGAGGGGTTAACAATCACTATGGGACAGAGGAAAGGGGGGTTAAAGATCATTATGGGACAGGGGAGAAAAAAAAATATTCTGAACAAACTGTCCCATGGTAAGAAACACTATGGAACAGTTTGTTCAGAATATTTTTTTTTCTGGGTTTCCTCCTCTAAAAACTAGGTGCGTCTTATGGTGAGGTGCGTCTTATGGAGCGAAAAATACGGTATTTTTAATGTATTTGTTTTTTTAATTTGTATATAATTTTATTCTTGGGTAATCTTGCCCTATGCAGGCCAATGCAGAGATGGCTGGAATTTGGGAGGTGGGACAGAAGATCTGGCAGAGGGACTTCCCAGGAATCTATGCATCTATTGCTACCCACCAGTGGTCAGAAAATATTCAACCAGTCATGGAGGCAGTAAGAGGTACATGAGTGTAGTAATCCTTAGTGACCTGTAGCAGTAAAAATGTTTGTTCCAGTACAAGCTTAGTCACTATTCGTAGGTATCTGTATTCTGCAACTCTGTACAGTGGGGAAATGTGTGCCAGTATTTGTGACAAATTTAAGCTAGTCATACAAATTGTAATGAGGACCTTCTTCAAATGTGCCTGTAATCAGTTGTGACAATTGCAAATAACTAAAAATTACTTCTTCAAACTATGAACTTATAACTAATTTTTTTTTTTTTTTTTTTAGTACAATATTGGGAATTTTTGGTCAAGATGTGCAATTACGTTGATTGATAGAGAATTCAAACTTCAGTCTCTGAAATATTTATTCACTAATCTCGCAATTTAAATAAGAATAGGGAAAAAAAATGAGGCAAGAAAGCCAATCTGGAAACAACTTCCAGCTCAGCTGTAGTCACAACTTGGCTATTTTTGCCTCAGTTTTGCAATTCCAAATTAATTTTCCCCAAATTCTGAGTTTAGTGAGTAATCCTTTAAATGTCCATTTGTATAATACCTGTAATTGGTACAACCAACAGGCATATGGCCTAGCGATTGCATATATAGTTTTGTCCTGTCTGATTTAGGCCACACTTGGCCTTTTGTAAATCTTTTTAAAGGAACTAAATACTACTACATGGACCTTTTCTACTGCTCAGTATCTTTAAAGTATAACATTGACCGAAAATAAATTGTATGTTATTAAAATGTTAAATGGCTAAGGTTTGTTTAAATGTATTTTATGAATATCGTAAAATATTTTCTAGAAGCTGTTGTTCCCATAGATGTAGCTGTAAACACATTTTCTCTCTAATCACTGCCTTTACAAATTCTTTCCTCTCTGAAGTAAATTAAAAATTTAAGAAACAGGAACAACTCTTGAACAGTGGAAATCACAGATCTCCAAAAAGATATTTCGTGCAGAGTAAATATGATTTTCTACCAGGGCTTGACAAATCCCAGGTCGCCATGGCAACTAGGAAATTTGACCTGGCGCCTGGATGAGCGGAGGCGAACGGAGGGATAGGCAGGCGGCTCATAGTGAGAGGAGGTGGGCGGCGGGACAGGCAGGCGGCTCATAGTGAGTGAAGGCGGGCGGCGGGACAGGCAGGCGGCTCATAGTGAGTGAAGGCAGGCAGCCGATTGGCACGTGGCTCATGGCGCAACATTAGTTCTTTATTCAATTTGCTTTTATTGACATCATAACAATTGGCAATACAAAGTTATATGCATCAATACAGAAGGTGGCAAAAATAGTGTACATGTCAGTTATTGTTCATTTGGTATAAAGGTATCTTTAGTATTGATGTGAAGAGAGCAATTTTACAAAGCAATAGCGAGCATCTGATTCCATTCCTACATTGCAACATCTTTCAGCATTGACAGTTTTCAAGAAGGAACTAGTCTTAGAAAAATAGAAAGAGAATATTTTCGCCATTCTCACAAGTTTTAGACATGAGAGCTATAGAGAACACTCAGATTCAGTCATTTTATGAATTGGTATGTTTGTGTTGGGAAGCAGATAAACTGCGATAAGGCAGAAACTTTAGTGCTCCTGCTGTGACCTTGTCTAGCCCTGCTTCCTGAGAGCGTCTCTACTGATCCGTTGGGGTGGGGGGTAGGGAGTGGTTGTCAAGTAGTGGGGCGTTTGGGGGTCGAGGGTCCGTCAGGTAGTTTTTGTCCTGTGTGCGCGTTTGTTGTGGGTGTCCCCTTTGCGCTAGTCGTTGTTCTTTGATGTGTGTGGGCGGTGGCTGTGTGTGTGTCATGCGTCGGGGTGTAGTCTTGTTGGGGTGTCCCTTCTGTGTTGGTGTCTTTCTGTGTCTGTTTGGGGATCCTATTAGTGTCGGGGGTGTATTGGTCGAGCGGGTGCTGTCCCGGGTTGTGAGGGTTGGGTGGGTTCTAGTATCATGGTGTAGTGTACTTGGGTGTTGGGCGTTTGGACAGTCTTGTTGGGTTGGTTCATCCCTTGTCCGATATGTGTTGGTCATGGTGGGTCTTTGTGGGTGCTGTGGTGTATGGTCTGTCCTGTAAGGGAGGTGGCGTTTCTGCGGGTGTAGGTGGCATTCTCAAGGCAGCCTGTCGGCAGTTGGTCATGTATTTTAACGTGTGTTGTGGGGGGCGGGTGGGATGGGAGTGTAGGTTAATGGGGTGAGGGCATTGCGGGTGAGGGTAAGGTGCGGGAGGGTAGGGGATGGGGTGTCAGGTCCCGGGTCCCCACCTCAACCCCCCCCCGCCTCCGGGGCAAGGGGCATCTCCGGCTCTGAGTGGTCGTCTTGGTTTGGTTGGGTCGGTGGTTCAGCTTCCGTATTGTCGTCCGTCTGTTCCGTCTGGACCGTCCCATCTGCCTCTGCTGTCAGGTATTGTGTGGTCCCCGTAATTGGTGCGGTGGAGGCGAGCCATTGGAGCCAGTGGTACCATGCATCATGGTAACGCTGTATGCGTCCCGTTGCGGAGTGGATGAGTTCCTCGATGCGTCTGATGTCTTCCACTCTCGTTATCCATTCTCTGATAGTCGGGGCCATGTGTTGTTTCCAGTGTCTCGGGATGAGGCTGCGGGCTGCGTTTATTAGGTGTGGGAGTGCTGTTTTTTAAAATTTGTTGATTGGGGTCTGTGTAAGTTGGAGCAGGTATGTGTCTGGTGAGAGGGGTAGGTTTGCTTCTGTTATGGTTGTGAGTATCTTGTGGATCTCTGCCCAAAAGGGCTGGATAAGGGGGCAGGACCACCATATGTGGAAGAGGGATCCCAGTTCTCTCCCGCATCTCCAGCATTCCGGGTCATTTGTGGGTTTCATCATGCTAAGTTTTTCCGGTGTCCTGTACCAGTGGGAGAGCATTTTATATCCTGTTTCTTGGAATTTGGTGGAGATGGAGGCTTTATGTGTGAGTGTAAACACCGTTGTCCATTGTTCCGTTGAAATTGAGTGTCCTAGATCCCTTTCCCAGTATTTTGTGAAGTAAGGGAGGGGTGCGTTAGTGGTGGTGGTGGTTTGCATGCGATATAGTAGCGATATCGCGTGTGGGGGGGGGGGTTCATGCATATGGTCTCGAATACAGAGAGTGCTCGCGTTGCCGAATTTAGGGTTGGTATGCTTCTCAGAAACCTTGTCAGTTGGTGATATCTAAAGCGTAGGAGCATATTGTGTGGGGTATTCGGGACCAGAGTGGTCAGGGGCGTGATTGTGCCTTGGTCATAGACGTCCTTCACTCTGCAGGGGGTCGGCAGGCCCAGGGCAGCCGTGTAGTGGGGGTCCGATGCAGGGGCAAATTTCGGGTTGTGAGATATGGGGCATAATGGTGAGAGTTCCGGGGCTACGTCTGTGTGAGTCGCCAGTCTCCTCCAAACTGCCATTGTAGCGTTTAGGGTTGGGTGGTTCCGTGGCAGTTCCCCGGCCATGGATTTCGGTAGCCAGGGTAGAAGTGTCAGGGGTATCCGTGAGAAGCTGGCCTCTATGGGGATCCATAGCTTGTCTTTCGGGTCTTGTGTCCATTCTATCACTCGCTGGAGGTGTATAGCATGTCTATATTTTGTGATATCGGGTAGTCCCAGGCCTCCCTGTAGTTTGGGTCTGGTGAGGGTGGCGAAATTCAGCCTCGGCGTTTTGCGGGCCCAGACGTAGGCCATCAGTGTTTTACGGGTTTGTGTTAGGAAGGTTTTGGGAATGTGGATTGGTAGGGTTTGTAGGAGATACAAGATTCGGGGGAGGATATTCATTTTGAGGACACTGATCCTACCCAGCCACGTTATGTGCGGGAGTTGCCACGAGTCGAGGTCCTTCTGTATGCGGTCGAGGAGGGGTGGGAAGTTGATGCGGTAGGTGTCCGACACATCAGCCGACAGCCAGATCCCTAAGTATTTAATTCTTTCTTTGCACCAGTGAAAAGGGAACTCTGTTTGCAGTGTAGTTGTTAGTGCTAGGGGGCAGTTTACGTTGAGAATTTCAGATTTCGTAAAGTTAATTTTCAAGTTGGAGAGGGTGCCATATAGGTCAAATTGGTGCGTGAGCTCCCTAAGTGAGGTTGCCGGGTTGGTGATTGTGAAGAGGAGGTCGTCCGCGTATGCAGAGACCTTGGTGGCTCCCCAGCTACCCTCGATTCCAGTTATGCGGGGTTGGGCTCGAACTGCATTGAGGAATGGTTCTAAGCTGATGGCAAAGAGTAGGGGCGATAGGGGACACCCTTGTCTAGTGCCGTTTCTGATCTCAAATGGGTCGGAGAGAATCCCATTAACCTGCACCCGGGCTGCTGGAGCGGTGTATAGGGCCCAAATGCGCGTCATCATGTGGGGTCCCAGTCCCAGGTGTTCCAGGGTGGACCTCAGGAAAGACCAGTCTACCCTGTCGAACGCCTTCTCCGCGTCGGTCGAAACTATCAGGGCGGGGGAGTGTCCTTCTCGGGCCGCGTGGAGAAGATTGAGTGTCTTAATAGTGTTGTCCCTGGCCTCCCGGCCCTCCACAAAGCCCACCTGATCAGGGTGGATAAGGCTCGGCATCAGGGGCTGGAGGCGCAGGGATAGTATTTTGGCAAACAGTTTGAGGTCGGCGTTCAACAGGGAGATTGGCCTGTAACTGGTACATGAGGAGGGGTCTTTTCTTTCTTTCGGGAGTACTACGACGTGTGCTAGGAGCATGTTGGGGTCTAAGGGGTCTCCGTTATGTATTGAGTTGAATAGTGTAAGTAGGTGTGGGACAAGGTTGTCTGCGAACATTTTGTAGTACTTTGCCGTGTATCCGTCTGGTCCGGGGCTTTTCCCCAGTTTGGCCAGTTTGATGGCTAGGCGTATCTCCGCTTCAGTGATATCTTCTTCTAGTGTAGCTATTTCTTGGGGTGTCAGCGTTGTGGTGATATTCTGTTCGATATATGTTTTTTGCCGTGCTGTGTGAGCCTCTTCTCCTTCGTGTGCGCGTGTGGTGTTGGGAGGTAGGCAGTATAGGGAGAGTAGTATTGTCTGAAGCCCTCTGCTATAGCCTTCGGGGTCCGCAGTGTGTTTCCTGCCAGGGAGATCTTTTGAACATGGGTTTTCTGTCTCCGGGCTCTCAGCGCCCTAGCGAGCAGTTTACCACTTTTGTTTCCGTATTCATAAAACGTTTTTTGTGTGAGTTGGAACTGGAATCGTATTTTGGACGTGAGGCAGGAGTTGAGTTTCGCTCTGGTCTCTAGGAGTTGTTTGTAGGTTTCGTCTCGGAGGTCTTGTTTGTGAAGCGTTTCTAGACGCGCCAGTTGGGCAGCAAGGCGTGCTATTTCCTGTGTGCGTTGTTTTTTCAGGCGAGTGCCGTGTTTGATGAGGATCCCTCGGATAGTGCATTTGTGTGCTTCCCAGACGGTCGTTGGTGCGCTTTCTGTTGTTTGATTGGTGGGGAAGAAGTGGTCTAGTGTGTTCCTAATTTCTGTTTGGATCAGTGGGTCCTCTAAGAGTGATTCATTAAGTTTCCATGTCCATTGGGATCGAAAGGTTCTAGGATTGTCGATGGTGAGTGTTACTGGTGCGTGGTCCGACCAGGTCATGGGGGCGATGTGGGCTGAACACAGTGTGTCTAGATCCCTGTGTTGGATGAAGAAGTAGTCAATCCTCGAGTATGATTTATGTGGCGCTGAATAATAGGTGTAGTCTTTCTCTGTATGGTGTAGGATTCGCCAGCAGTCTACAAGTTGGTGAGTTGTCAAAAGGGTCCGCAGTCCTCTGAGGACGTGGTCCGGGATCGTGGAGCCCCCTTTAGATGTGTCCATTTTGGGGTCTAGAGGGGCGTTGAGGTCCCCTCCTATTATTACGGTTCCTGCACTGAACGCTTCCAATTTTCTCAGGGCTGAGGCTAGGAATGATTTTTGGCCTTTGTTTGGGAGGTAGAGGTTCGCGAGTGTGATTTGAGCGTCCCCTATGTGTCCTTTGAGAAAAAGGTATCTGCCTTCTCGGTCTTTCTCTTCTGCTTCCAGGCGGAACTGGGTGTCTGCCGAGAATAATATAGCCACTCCCTTGGATTTGGTGGAGGGGTTATGCGCGTAGTAGCCGGTTGGGAAGTATTTATCTGAGAATTTGGGGGCTTTTGTTGCTAGAAAGTGTGTTTCTTGGAAGAAAGCTATTGATATCTTAAGTGCTCGAATTTCTCGCAGCGCTCTTGCTCGTTTTTGTGGGGAGTTCAGGCCCTTCGCGTTGATTGTGTAGAGGTTAATTCCTATCTCTGCGTGCCCGGGGGCGTGGGGGGCGAGAGGCGGTGGGCCCATCATATCCAGGTGGCGGGGTGTGGAGTAGGGGAGGAAAAGGGGGGGGGGAGATGGAAGGGGAGGTTAGATGTGTTTGAGGGGGTAGTTCAAGCGGTGTGGTGTGTAGCGGTTGTGTCGAGTCGCAGAGGCGACTGTTGTAAGGGGTAATGTGCCACTGGTAGGTGTGTGTCCGGGAACCAAGGTCCTCGTAGTCACCTCACAGTCTCTTGGCAGTGAACCCGTGGGGCAGGTGGCATTGGTGGTTAGGTAGGTCACCTACTTTGGGTGTCGTCTAGTGACGTATCACTGTCTGTCAGCATCCGTCTCCTGCTGCCTAACAGTGGTGGTGTCTGGCATCCAGAGGGGTAGTACCGTTCTAGCGGATCAGTTAACAACAATGTGGATGGTCGTGATGGTCGCCCCTGGGCGCTATCTTGTTATCGTTGCGCTATTGTGTCGGGAGCGTGCATACGGATGTAAGAACAGTATTCGTGAGAACAACATAATAACAGCATATCAAAACATGGTTACACAAGTTATATCCCAGTGTCAGGGAGAACATCAGAAACTTTTATGAACATTTAGAGATGGTTTGGGTGTGTTCGCACAGCACAGGGGGCCCCTCATGGAATAGAATGAGGTTTGCACCCCGTGGTGCGCCGTCACCCCACACCTTTTATATAACAGGGTAGGAGGAGGAGGGCAAAAAGTAAGGGGGGGAGGGGGGGAAGGGGTTCAGGAAAACAAAAACACACCCCCAACAATACACTCAATACACTTTGTTGGAACCAGTGAGCGCAGGTGTCTCCGTCGCCCGGTGGGAACCTCTCGGTTGTTCACAGGGGGCGAGGCAGAGTCGCTCTCAACAGTAATTCTTGAGGAACACGGAGCATTCATCTTACGGTATGTAGTGGTTGGTGAATGATGCGTTCCCCCCTTCTAGCGTGTTCGTGGTGTCTGAGGTGTGTTTCTGTTGGACGCCTCAGAGGTGCGTTTGATACCTGGTTGCCTGTGTTGCAGGTATGGTCTGTGTGTATGTCTGCGGTTTGATTAGATAGTAAGGGTGTCTGGGTGCATCTTGGGTGTATTTGGGGGGGTTCCCTTCCTGGTGTAGCGGATGTGTGTGTGTATGTGTTAGTGTCAAGGTGTGTAAGCGAGCCCGCAAGGTATACTTGCACTTGCGATGCGTTCTACGGTGGTGGAAGCCGTGGCCAGCAGTCCAGGGTGATGCCAGGGTGTCAGTTCAAGGCATCATGTCAGTGGTCGTCTCTATAGGGTGTTTGGAGCTTGGCGGGTGTGGGTCTATGTCCCGCATTGTGGGGCAAAGGAGTCTTGTGTGGAGCCAGCCAAGATATTGGTGCACTGGCGAGTCCTCTGGGGTTGTCTCTGTTGAGTTAGCAGCGTTCTTGGTGGTGTTGAGCAAGTCATGGACTCGGGGGGCAATAGATGTAGGCCCAGTTAGCCGGTGAAGCAAGGTGGTTCTAGGCCTTTGGGACGGTGAGATGTGGGTGGGTTACCGTTTTTGGTGGTGTCTTGGCGGCGGTGAGTCGCAATCTGCTTTCTCCCTTTGCTTTCCTGGTTGCAGAGTGATAGAGAAAGAGAGAAGAGAAAAAAAATAAAAATAAAAAATAGGGGGGGGGGGAGTAGGTGTCTCTGGAGGTGCCTTATCCCTCCTGCTCCCCTCAGCGTGGTCGTTAATGCGTTGCACGGTCGTGGTCAGGCTGGTGGTGCAGGGTGGGTGTAGGCAGGTGGTGGTGTCTCCATCTCGTTATTCCTCAGGGTCAATTAGTCGGTGATGGGTGCGTGGGGCGTCCCTGTCGGGCCCCTGGTGGATGGTACGTTGTGTTGGCCTCCCTGTGAGGCGTTCATTAAGCGGGCATGCAGTCCAGTCCGAAATAGGGGTGCGGGGGAGGTTTAGAGCCTCCTGGAAGGCCAGTACATCTTGCGGCGTGCGAATTACTGCTTCTGTGGTGCCCTGTCTGGCTGAGAGGGCGAAAGGAAATTGCCATCTGTAGCGGATTTGGGCGTCTTGCAGGGCGGCGGTGAGGGGCCGCAAGGCTCTTCGGGCCTGTAGGGTGAGGTGGGATAGGTCATTGTAAAGTTCTATAGCCTGTCCCTCTATTCTCCAGGTTCTTTCTGTGCGTGCTTTTCTCATAATTTCTTCCTTTAGTTGGAAGTCTGGTATGTGGCAAATTAAGTCCCTGGGGGGAGCACCCGGGGGGGGCTTGGATCTTAGTGCCCTGTGTGCCCTGTCCATGTGCATGCGGGCGTCCCTGGGTCTGCCCAGTATGCGATTAAAAATCGGGGTCAGCGTGGCCCTGGCGTCTTCTGTTGTGTCAGATTCTCTGCAGCCTCTTACCCTGATGTTATGCCTGCGGCTGCGGTTATCAAGGTCCTCTATGTGGAGGCGCAGATCTTGTATGTGCCTGGAGTGGGCCTCTGTAGCTTGTATAGCAGGGCAGTGTGGGTTGGGGCCCTGTGTCTCTAGTGCCTGTACCCTTGTCTTAAGCGCTGTGAGTGAGGTGCCTAGGGCTGAGATCTCTGTGCGCAGGGTGGCTTTTACCTCATCCAGCAGTGTCTGGAAGTCCTCCTTTTTCGGCAGGGACGTGAACAGTGTGTACCAGTCTGGTGTCTGTGGGGCTTGCCGGCTGCTGTCAGTGCGCGGGTATTCCTCCGACAGCGTGGAGCTCGGGGAGGAGGGCGCCATGTTGGAGGCCTCCTCCTGGGAGAGGAAATCCCCTGGTGTGTGGAGGTAGCTGCGGATGGAGGGGTGCGAGCCGGTCCCCTGTGTTCTCGGCGTGGAGGGGGTCATCTGGGCTCTCTTGGTACGTCCCATGGGTGCCAGGTCGTGCTAGTGCGGTGTGTTTTTTGCGGCTGGGAGCGGAGCTCGGAAATTAGGCGGCCATTCCTGTTCGGCGCCAAGCCACGCCCCCGGCGCAACATTAGTTCAGGCAGGCCGCTGACTGATTACTCCGGCAGTGAGGGAGCTGTGATCTCCCGGCTACCTTGTGAGTTGTCTAGTGATGCAGAGAGCCGGAATATAATGTTGCCCATGCTCACTAAACAGCAAGCGAGGGAGCAGGAAGATGAGCATCCCCCGCTGGACCCCAGGGCACATAAATGTAAATATAACTAATAATTTGTGAGTCTGTGTGAAAAGGTTTGTCTGTTGTGCATTAAGCGTTTTCATGCAGAGCATACGGTGCAGCACTGAGAGATTTTACTAGACTGCAATGTAAACACTGCCTTTTGTCTGAAAAGGCAGTGTTTACATTGAACAGCGTATAGGGACAGGCTACAGAATTTAGAACAACTACGTTAAGCTGTAGTGGTTCTGGTGACTATAGTGACCATTTAAGAATGTTATTTTTGCCGTTGACAAATCTGGTTCCTAGATTCCAAGCAAATCTGTGAAGCTCTGATTTATACCGAAGGGGACACTAGAGTCACCAGAACAACCTCTAACTTAATGAGGTAGATTTTGTGTATAGCTCATGTATCTGAAGTAGGGATCGACCAATTATCGCTCTGGCCCATATTTGTTTTTTTTTTCCGGCAATATCGGTATCAACCTATAGAGATACCGATATTGCCGATAATGCAGACCAGGACTGCCGGGCCCATGACAAGCCTGGAAGGCCCGCCGCAAGCTCTTACTTAACCTTCCCAGCAGCTCCCCTGTCTAAGTCTCGAGAGTCCTGTGGTCGTCAGAGCGTTGCCACGGGTTACCATGGCAACGCGGCACGCTATCCACGAGAGTTAGACAGGGGAGTTGGGAAAGTAAGAGCTTGCTGCGGACCCCCACTGCACAGTCCTTGCCACAGGACCACCAGGGAATGCCATATCACCCCTCCTTGGCCAAGTAAGAAGCAGGGAGGGGGGGACTAAAAAAAATCTTAAAAATAAATAAAAATTAATGCCCCCCACACCACATTTTACACACATTACATACCTACACACACACACACACTCTGCATTATATAAATATACCTACACAAACACACTGCAGTCACTACACACACACAATGCATTCACTTTACGCACACTACACACACACACACTGCATTCACTTTACGCACACTACACACACTGCATTCACTTTACGCACACTACACACACACTGCATTCACTTTTACACACACACTGCATTCACTTTACGCACACTACACACACACTGCATTCACTTTACGCACACTACACACACACTGCATTCACTTTTTACGACACTACCACGCTGCTACGCTACACACGCTGCATTCTTTACGCACACTACACACACGCTGCATTACTTTACGCATTACTTGCATTCACTACACACACTGTATCTACTCTGCATCTCACTTTACGCATTACTCTTATCACTCACACACACGCTGCATTCACTTTACGCACACTACACACACGCTGCATTCACTTTACGCACACTACACACACGCTGCATTCACTTTACGCACACTACACACAGGCGGCATTCACTTTACGCACACTACACACAGGCGGCATTCACTTTACGCACACTACACACACGCTGCATTCACTTTACGCACACTACACACACGCTGCATTCACTTTACGCACACTACACACACGCTGCATTCACTTTACGCACACTACACACACGCTGCATTCACTTTACGCACACTACACACACGCTGCATTCACTTTACGCACACTACACACACGCTGCATTCACTTTACGCACACTAAAAGCACACAAAAGTTAAATCACTTTTGTTTCTCTTTATGCAGCCCTAGCCACACCTCACCTGGCTGTGACTCACACAGCCTGCATGAAAACAAAATGGTTTCATTTTCAATCAGATGTAACTTATTTTAAATAAAAATTGCTATCTCCTGCAGGGTCTAGCAAGTTATTAACAGAGCAGGAGAGAAGAGATTCTAAATGAAACAGAATTTACAATAAAGGAAGTGTAAACATTAGATGACTCTTTGCATGAGGGGTTTAGGAAGGCTATGTAAGTCACATGCAGGCAGAATTGACTAGGGCTGTATAAACAAACTAATTTATCTTGTAAATGGCAGGGAGACTGTAGGGGCATGATTTATACACCCAAACTGCTTCATTACGCTAAAGCTGTTTTGGGGACTATAGTGGCCCTGTAAAAGAGTGTGTGTGTGTGTGTGTGTATGTATGTATATGTATATGTATGTGTGTGTATGTATGTATATATATATATATATATATATATATATATATATATATAATTTACTCTGTACCATATTCTAAATCCCTCCTCAATCCCATTCTCTTTAGATGCAACACGACGGCGTGCCTTTGGCTTGGTGTCCCAGGCCTACACTTCAATCTCTGCTGAAGATTTTGCTGCCTTTGTTGGTCTTCCTGTGGAAGAGGCTGTAAAAGGTGTGTGTGTGTGTGTGTGTGTGCGTTTGTTTCATTAAGTTTAACGATATAACCAGATAACATTTGTTAATTTACGATATTAAGAAAAATGTCAGATTGCAATACACTGGGGGGTGAGGGGGGGTCCCTTTGATCTGTGAATCAATATGTAGGTAATTAAAAAAATTTCCCTGCATGAATAGAAAAAGCTATTTGTAAACTTTTTTTTTTTTTTAGATTGATTCATTAATGTGATTTTGTGTTTTTAATTGTAATGCTTGTTTACAAAGTACTAGAACTTATTCTTACAAAAAAAAATCTGTTTTATATTCATACCGATGAATGCTGGTGTTGGGAATCCTAGTATCTTGTAAACCCCTTGTCTGCTACAATTCTCATTTTCCGTGACATTATGCGTTGTTTTGATTTATAATTCTATAGTGGTTATGGTGCCAGGAGTGGCCTGGCACCCTTCCACTGTAATCTGTCAAACTCTTTTAGAATGGTTTAATATCTTACCTGGGTCCACCGGTGCACGCACTCCATCAGCTTCTCCATTCCTATGACACTACTAAACTAAGCAGGTCCGATATACAGGTTAAACACGAAAAATTAGAATATCGTGCAAAAGTTCATTTATTTCAGTAATGCAACGTAAAAGGGAAAACTAATATATGAGATAGACGCATTACATGCAAAGCAAGATAGTTCAAGCCGTGATTTGTCATAATTGCGATGATTATGGCTTACAGGTCATGAAAACCCCAAATCCAAAATCTCAGTAAATAAGAATATTACATGCAGTCAATAAAACAAGGAGTGAACATAGAACAATATCGGACCTCTGAAAAGTGTAAGCATTGATATGGACTCAATACTTAGTTTGGGCCCCTTTTGCAGCAATTACTGCCTCAGTGCTGCGTGGCATGGAAGCTATCAGCCTGTGGCACTGATGAGGTGTTATTGAAGACCAGGATGCTTCAATAGCGGCCTTCAGCTCTTCTGAATTGTTCAGTCTCATGTCTCTCATCTTTCTTTTGGCAATGCCGCATAGATTCTCTATGGGGTTCAGGTCAGGCGAGTTTGCTGGCCAATCAAGCACAGTAATCCCACGGTCATTGAACCAGGCTTTGGGGCTTTTTGCAGTGTGGGCAGGTTCCAAGTCCTGCTGGAAAATGAAGTCAGCATCCCCAAAAACCTTGTCTGTGGAAGGAAGCATGAAGTGCTCCAAAATCTCCTGGTAGACGACTGTGTTGACCCTTGGCTTAATGTAGCACAGTGGACCAACACCAGCAGAGAACATGGCTCCCCAAATCAACACAGACTGTGGAAACTTCACACTGGACTTCAAGCATCTTGCAGTGTGTGCCTCTCCATTATTCCTCCAGACTCTGGGTCCTTGGTTTCCAAATGAGATGAAAAAGTTGCTCTCATCAGAAAAGAGGACTTTGGACCACTGAGCAACAGGCCAGGTCTGTTTTTCTTTAGCCCCGGTAAGACGCTTCTGACGTTGTTTGTTGTTCAGGAGCGGCTTGACAAGAGGAATACGACATCTGAAGCCCATGTCCAGGATCCGTCTGTGTGTGGTGGCTCTTTATGCACTGACTCCAGCCTCAGTCCACTCCTTGTGAAAGTCCCCCAACACTTTTGAATGGCCTTTTCCTGACAATCCTCTCCAGTCTGCAGTCATCCCTGCTGCTTGTGCACCTTTTTCTTCCACACTTTTCCCTTCCACATAACTTTCTATTAATGTGCTTTGATACAGTACTTTGGGAACATCCAACTTCCTTCGCAATTACCTTTTTGAGACTTTCCCTCCTTATGGAGGGTATCAACTGTCAGGTCAGCAGTCTTCCCCATGATTGTGATTCCTACTGAACCAGTCGGAGAGACCATTTAAAGGCTCAGAAACCCTGTGCAGGTGTTATGGCTTACTTAGCTAAATAGAGTGGGACACTGTGAGCCTAGAATATGGCACCTTTTCACAATATTCTAATTTATTGAGATTGTGGATTTGGGGTTTTCATGAGCTGTAAGCCATAATCATCGCACCTATGACAAATCACAGATTGAACTATCTTGCTTTGCATGTAATGCATCTATCTCATGTTAGTTTCCTTTTTTACGTTTCATTACTGAAATAAATTAACTTTTTTGCACGATATTCAAATTTTTCGAGTATCACCTGTATGACCACTCTCAACTGATAATCAATGCTGATGAGCATTGCCCTACTTAGCTCAGAGAATCCAGAAGCAGGGCTATGGCTGCGGAAACCCAGTGGGAGCCAGGTAAGTTGTCAAACCTTCTAAAATAGTTTGACCGATTACTCTGTGAGGGTGCAAGGTCACTCTTGGCATCATAACTATTACAGCGAGCTCTGATGCTTGGAATTATCCTTTAAAATGGATTTGCTGCAAAGCCTCTACATTACTTATAAGTGCAGCAAAATGGGATTAAACAAGAACCTCAAATCTCTTTATAGTGTGCAATCCCTATAATACAAAACTAATATTAGGTGTTAATCTGTTTTTTTTTTTTTATTCCTTATGCACAGCGGTGTTGGAACAGGGCTGGCAAGCTGACTCTGCTACTCGTATGGTTATGCCCAAGAAGCCTGGTAGGTGGCGCTGCTGATCTTTTGTGTAACACCAAAAAATTTTGAGTCTGCAACTGCATTTCTTTTTTGTAAAGGAAGAAATGAAGTTGTCCACAACTAGCAAATGTGCTTACATTTAGTCACATATTTGGTACAAACAGACAGAGACAAAGCTTGGTTCACATAGTTTAAAAAAATAAAATGTGTGTATTGGATGTTACAAAGCACTATATTTATGCAGGAGGGTTTACAAGTCTAGCTTTCTTCGAATGCTAATTTTTCACCCGTCGTAGTGTGTATTAAATGTGGCTAACAAACCTTAACTAATGTGAATAGGCACGACTAGAACATGATTTGAAATTTTATATTCTTTATAACTATTAAAGGATTTTTGATGTTTTAAATTAGTTATATTGTAAACTCCACATGGGAAGGAACATTTGTTTGTTTTTTCTTCCCCACATCACATGATCATCTGTGTATATGTTTTTTTATTTTAATAATTATTTTGTGAAATAACATCCTTGCTTGAACAAGTGAACCGGCTTCTCCATAGTAGTAGCAGAATCTTGGCAGACACTGTATTCTTAATTTTAAAGAAAAGCAACTTGTTAACATCTAGAAAAATGACATCACACCCATCCTCCCTATCCCCCCTCCTCATTTAGCTCATTGCTAAACATAACACAGATCCTTTTTTTGCCTGTTAACTTGCTTCCTTGAGGAGGGATAGAAACACAGCCTCACATGCAAATCTGTTCATAGTTTCCTAAGGATCTTGTGTACGGAGGGTGGAGGAATGTGTGCAGTTAAACCATGTACATTTTGGTGGGAGGTACAACACTCATGGAGATGTAATTTTCTTCTTTTTTTTTTTTTCTGATCCCCTCACAGATTCTGCTCCCCTGTCTCTGATCCCCAATGAGCAACAGCTGGCCAGACTCACTGACTACGTGGCTTTCCTAGAGAACTAGCACACCCTTTTTACTCCAAGATCAAAAAAATGTGCAAGAACTGGGGAGAAAAGCTGTACCAGGACATTTTGCAACTACTAGTTGGTCCCTCCAAACCTTTAAACATCATGGTTACATACCCCAAGTCTACAGGGTGGGCTTATTGTCTTGTGAGCTGCTCTGTCATTGGAAAGGGTTGCTGAGAATGGGAGAAATCACAGAACTGACTATTATTTGTGTGGATGTTAACCCTTTGCTGCTTGAGAGGCCTGCGTCACACCACACCCATCATTTCTTGGCCCCTCTGGCTGTGAAAGGAATAAAAAAAAAAAAAAGATTGACCAGTAGTTATCTGTTTATTTCCCCTTAAAGCCGCTAGCAAGTTAGGGCTGGCTGCTTGAGATAGTTATGTCTGAATTGAAATCCCATCTGATGGACCTGTCAATGCTAAATTCTTCTAGTTTGAGACAAGTTTCCATTCTCTGTGCTAATGGATATTTATGAATATATGATCCTTCCTGTTTGGGCTGGTGTAGTAGTATACTTGCAGCTCGTTCTGCAGCAGCTCAAAGGGACCTGTATTTCTCCAGGATTTAAATACAAATCACCTGGACGAATAACTGTTTAAGCCATTGTTTCCCTCTTCATTGGTTAACAGGTGAGTAAGCTCAATGATACTACAAATGAAAGACAGGTGGCCAACCTGCATGTGTTCAGATTAGGTAGAACTAAAATTTCTACCAGTATTTAATCATATTGGTTTCAGATTTTCCCAAGGAACACAATCAAGGGGTGTCTTGCCTCTTTAAATCTCTGCTGCTGTATTTTTAGCACCCCTTTTAGTCTGGTTCTGTTCTGAATTTTAACTCATAGGCTTTCATCAGAAGACACAATACTCTACTGCCCTTCTAGTGATGAACATTGTCATCTGCCTCAGTACATCCTCTCGTCAGACATGTTTAGCTTCATCGCAAATTGCTTTTAAAGTGCAATAGAGGAAAAAAAAGGCTAGCTGTAACCAATAGAGGGTTAATACAGAATAGGTGGATCTGCAATAGGACCCCACAGCCTTTTTGCACTGTAGTAGGATGGTTTGTCTAGGCACTGCATGGAAATTAGAGCAGTGTTATTTTTGTCATCTTGTAGCCATGTGTTAAAAATCCTTTAGTAAGAACACGATCCATTAAAACATGTTAACTACAGTGATTAGTTGTGTGTGTCTCTTTAATTTTTGTTACAGGCTTATTCACTACAGTGAGAATTCAACGTGAATTCCTAGTTCAAGGCCAGGGAAGCAGAACTAGATGCATTGTTTTTTGTTTGTTTTTGTTCGACTATTTCAAACTTAATTTTAAACTTCACTTTGAATTCATATTGAATTCTCAGTTTAGTGAATAACCGTGTTAGTATGTGGTTGGGTGTAATTTTTCTTGCCCAGTGTTATAAATTGTAGCCTATTTCCAGGTGGCACTATTTCCATGTGCAATACAAGTAGTCCATGTATAAAATGTTTGTATGTGTCTGTATATGTCCTGCTGCCAATTTCTCTGAAATTATGTTGATGTCCAAAGATTGTGTTAAAATACTTAGAACACAAAGTAATCCACCCAAAATAAGGCACAAAACAAACAAACATTTTTATTGCAAAGCTGTGCAACTGGAGTCTCTGAAATTCGAGTAATCGATTTTTGCAAAAAAAAGTAACAGAATATTAATCCTGCATATGGATCTGCAGAAAATGTGTGTGGCACAGTGGACAGCATCTTGAACCACGTGGATCAATCAGTGACAACTGGGTTGTTCACTAAGCAACTCATTTGTGTGCTTTAAATTCATACTGGAAAAACTGAATCGAAAATAGCCAAGCTAGAGTTTTTTTGTTTTTTTTCCCCCCCCCTAGATCAGCTATTTATGCCTTTGTTTTTACCTTTTGAATTTAATTTGCAGTTTAGTGAATAAACAAACGTATAACAGTTGTTGGTTATCTGCATATTACAGATGGGAATGATTGCACCAGGGTGCTAACAGGTTTTAAACCATAGGTATTAAAAAATAAATAATTTAGCAAAAAGCCATTTGGGTGAAAAAATAAAGGCCGAACCATTGCAGAATTAAATAATATTTATTTGCTTCATTGTTAAATCACGGCTGTGATTGCGGGAAATACATCACAACAATAACACATTTTGTGTCAAAGAATGAAACGTTTTAGCGTTATCGTGGTGGTATCTTTTCCCCTATTGTTGCTCTCAGCTGTCCTTTAACTATGAAGCACTAAAGTACTGTTTTTATTTAAATTCAATTATGCACTTAGAGTTCCCCCTCACCCCCGTTCGCTTTCCCAATGGTTTTTGGCTGAATTACATATGTTAGCATAGTTAATAACACCAAGTATATAATTGGTTTTCACCACCTGTTTGAGTGGGGTTTACTGGATTCCGTTTCCAGTTAAGTTTGATGCCTTCCATAACCTGTTCATGATAACAATAATGTATGCTTAGGGTTTTTTTTCTGTAATAAAAATAGTAAAAAAAAAAATTTGTATTATGTGGCCCCACCCTCTAAATCTATTAATATTCATGATAAAGATCCAGGCTGCCTATTACTATACCTAATTTATTTTTTTTATTTAAAAAAAAATAAAATAAAAATGCTGGGTGTGTAAAAATACAAGTTACTTTAAAGGACCAATCTTGGCACCCAGACCACTTCAGCTTAATGAAGTGGTCTGGGTGCCAGGTCCAGCTAGGGTTAACCCATTTTTTCATAAACATAGCAGTTTCAGAGAAACTGCTATGTTTATGAATGGGTTAAGCCTTCCCCTATTTCCTTTAGCGGCTGTCTCATTGACAGCCGCTAGAGGCGCTTGCGTGCTTCTCACTGTGATTTTCACAGTGAGAGCACGCCAGCGTCCATAGGAAAGCATTATGAATGCTTTCCTATGTGACCGGCTGAATGCGCGCGCATTCAGCCGACGGGGAGGAGGATCGGAGGAAGAGACCTCTCCGCCCAGCGCTGGAAAAAAGGTAAGTTTTAACCCTTTTCCAGAGCCGGACAGGAGGGGGTCCCTGAGGGTGGGGGCACCCTCAGGGCACTATAGTGCCAGGAAAACGAGTGTTTTTTACTGGCACTATAGTGGTCCTTTAAAGTGAAACTCTAAGCACGCAAAACAACTTCAGTTTTTAATGTATAAATCATGCAATGCAGTCTCACTCCACACTTCTGCAATTTTAGGAGTAAATTCACTTTGTTTATGCCGCCCTAGCCACATCTCCCTTCGATGTGATTCATACAGCCTCGCTAAACAATTTCAATGCAGTCCTACAGGAGGGTGGCATGGAATGTCTTTAGTACTGCATTTTTAGTGTGAGCACGGTTAAATAACTGCTCACACCTTGAAGCCCTAGGTATCAACGTCTGTGCTCATTTTAGTGGCCCCAGATTTTGTGATGAGCTGCATGGAGCGATGAAATTTAGGGCTGCAAGCAGTTCTGTAATAGACATTTAAATATCTTTCAATTAAATCCGTGCTCACATCATGAAACCAAAGTTACAATAGATACCTGGTGCTCCCTTCTGTCAGCTGGAGCAATATTTAATTGCCCTGGACTGACTGAGCTATGTGCAGCGCTAATTTCCTTTATAATACCGCGGCTGAGCCACGTTGGAATAGACCCTTGCAGGTTCTCCCTATCTGTCCTGAGCCAACTGTGAGTGGACTTGGTTTTGCCAGCTGGCCAGCACTGATCACAGTGCAATCAACTGGGAAGCCGGCTCCATTCATAATTACATAGAATGTAATTCTGAAAACAGCCAGTAGATGGCAGTCGCAGACCGCACTACTGTTTTAAAGGGACACTATAGTCACCCAGACCACTTCAGCTCAATTAAGTGGTCTGGGTGCCAGGTCCCTATAGGGTTAACCCTGCCTGATGTAAACATAGCAGTTTCAAGGAAACTGCTATGTATACATATGGGGTTAAGCCATCCTCTAGTGGCTGTCTTCTGGACACTTTCCTATGGACACTTTGAATGCGCACGCGGCACTGCCGCACATGCGCATTCCGCACCGCAGGACGGGGGAGCTGACGTCGGCCCGGCGGTGGAAGAAGGTGAGTAACTGAAGGGGTTTTAACCCCTTCAGCACTGAGGGTGGGGGCACCCTCAGGGTACTATAGTGGCAGGAAAACAGATTTTATTAGCAGAGGGTTTTGTTGGGGTTAAGGTTAGATGTAGGGTTATTGTTTGTGTAGCGTTAGTGTAAAGTAAGGGTTAATGCTGTTTTAGGACTAAGGGAAAGGTATATGGCTAGTGCAAGGGGTATGGTTGGTATAGCATTAGTGTGTGGGTTGGTAGAGGGTTAGTATTAACTACCAAAAATGTATGTCTGTTTTGAGGTTTTTATTTAGCTGCCATGGATGTCGAAAAATTAGGATGTAAAATGGTTTGTTCCGAAGTAATTTTGTCTTCAAATTATTTGGAAGAATTAATGAGACAACGCAGGTTCTACTTTCTAAAAATTTGTAGCTCACCATTTGCATTTGCTGTCTAAGTTAAAATTGAAATTAGGTTGTTCACTAAAACTTCATTTGTGTGATGAACGAAGGAGGAAATTGAACATTCTGGAAAAAAATGGAAAAATACCAGAGTTGGAGAATATTTCTGTTTTTCAACAGTTTTGAAGTAATGCAATGCCTTTATCAATCCTTAATTTTTTGTTTTCCTTAACCTATAGTTTAATGCATTTGAACTTTTTGTTTTGTTTCTAAACAGCAATCATCAAAGTCCAACAAAATGCATTTTTTTTTCATTTTTACATTGTTCTCTCAAATGATTCATTGCTGGAGTGAAGTCTCTCAAGTATCCTGTAGATAGTCCTTGTTTTATTAAAAAATATTTATTAGAAGTAAGCAAATTATATTTCCTTTTTCTCCCTTGCAAATATTCCTAAATATGTGTCATTGGACACCACTTTGCATGTAGTAAAATGTAAAGCCATTATTTTCTGCTTTGCTGACATAAAAAATGAGCTCCACGTGAGATTTTAGGAAATTAATTTCCTTACCAGAGTTCATGAATTGTCCCAGTAGAGAAGTAGTACATCACTAATATGTAGAGATAATACCATGAATTGCAATATACCTAGTATTATCTTTGATCCCTGTGAATTGCAAAGCTTTTATTGCCTGAAAGCGACAAATTCAAAGTTCAAATTGGGTTTTGCTTGGCAAAGTCCAGATTCCATGCTTCCTACAAATTAACATATGCAGCTCTAATCTTACTGTACAGGAAACAAAACTGCACTGGTGCATAGAGCAACACTGGTCACGTGATAACTGGACAGCAGGGGACACATACATCACAATGGTGACAGTGTAGGATAGGCTGCTGTTACAGTATTTGCCTTGTCTCCTATCCACTGTGGTTTATTCCTGTAAGATACAGCAACTTTATGAGAAACACCTGTGTGAAAAAAAACTTTCCTACAGTACAATCGAAACATATTGAATGTGTGTACATTTATATAATTAATATTGCTTCTATCATAAAACCAGAATAAGCCTAGTAATTAAAATTATGTATGTATTAATAAAAAAAAATGGAAATGTTACATTGATGCTCTCCCATTCCATATTATATTGTGCTCTTATTGACTACAGGTGTACAAGGGGGCTATTGTATACACATTGCCAACTATTTCCGTTCATAAAGAGACTGACTCTCTTGGTGGTCTCATAGTTATAAAAGTCATACCCTCTTTGGTGCCTCCATTTAATTTTTCAGCTTGGAGTCCAGGTAATTGCTGCAATCTTTCTTATATCAGACAGTACATTACAGATCTGCGGATGATTCAGGGAGATTGTAGGATCCCTACAAAGACCAACTGTGTGTGGGCACAAGAGGATGCCTCTTTCCTACAGCTGTCATTAGTGGTGGCTGTGAAATTTGTTTACTATATAATCTCCAATATTTGTGACATATTGAAAGCGTCAATCTGAACTTTGCCTCTGAGATAAAGTAGTTCCTATTTTGTTTTATGGTATTTTTTGTGCTGGAACTGCAGTGGAATTCCAACACCGTTAACATGTAAAATGTATAAAGTTTTTAGGAAATATTCAGAGATTAAAGGTGATCAAGCTCCCTTTACTGTCTGTTAGTAAGACCAGATTTCTCTTGAATGGCAAGCAACAGAATCAGTCTGGGAAATAGGTCAAAACTAGGGATCTATCTTTGTTTTTATTTCCTCTAGAATGGGTGGTAACACAGATGGAGAGAGATTAAGAAACTGCAAAGAAAGAAAATGACCAGGAGTGCAAGCATACTTCTAAAGAGACCGCATGGAGAGACATAATACATGAAATATAGAAAAGTTACAAGTGCATAGGCAGGATACTGCAAGTGCAGGAGAGCTGGAGAGTGAGTAAAAAAGGGCTGATAAAAAGAGCATGAGTACTGAGAGCCTTGTTTCATAAACCGTCTGTTGCTGCAATACGATAGCTGTAAGTGATATATTGTCTCTCATGACTTTCTATGAGATAGGTGGTACAGAATCGTGACCAACTCATAGAAGCTTTTCTGTGACATTGATTCTATCTGGAGTATAAAGCTACATTCAAGATTTTTTTGTGAATGAGGTGAAATGCAATTGGTTCTGCCACAAGGTTTCATGAATTCAAAACGTTTAACCTACTTGCTTTTCTAGAGAAGCTGCAGGTCCTGGAATGGCGGGTAAAGTATTAATAAAACAAAGATTTTTTGGAGAATTTGCAACAAAAATACATTGGAGATTTTTTTTTCTTTCTAATTCAGATATTTTGACGTGAAATTTTAAACTACTTTGTCAATTCTGAACAATTCTCATGTTATGGAATAAACACCAGACTTTGAGTGTCATTGTTATTCAGTCCCAGCTTGGCTTGTTCACTCTAAGGAGGTTTGAAGGCCAGTCCCTGTGAAAGCGGGGAGCGTGAGGACGCAGGGTGCGGCACGCAGTTGCGGGCGCGTGAGCAGGCACATAGACAGGAGAGGAAGAGCGTTTCACTCGAGATCCGCCTGAGAACCGAGATGGCGCTGCCACGAAGACGTCAGTGTAGGGCTGAAAGTACTCCCAACACGGGGTTGTGACAGAGCCTGGGTTCGGCGAGATTGGGGCTGCTGGTGAAGAAGTAAGCGGATGTAAAGGGATTGAATATTAAGCGGCAGTGGAGTAAAGCATTAATCTGGCTGGAGAGCGAAGAAAAGGAGAGACTATCAGCATCATCAAACAAAGCTAAGTAAATCCCTTCAAGAGATAGGAATATCTGGGGCACATTAATATATGATAGTAAGATTAGGCACTGGGGACAGTATTCCTTTAGGGTTGTGGAGTCTGCCAATGAATATATTTAGATAACGCACTTCTAATACAATCCGCAAGAAAAATTATGTGAAACAGATTGGGCAAGGGAGATAGTATTTCTCCAGGGCTGCAAAGTTAGTCTATGAATATATTTGGATAATACACTTATAACAAAATCAGCAAGAAATAACCTGAGAAACAATTGGGGAAGGAAAAGAAGGTTGGGTAGATATGTAAAGAGGCTTCTACTATTCGACCGAGGTTATAAAAATGTAAAAGAAAAAAAGTAAAGAAAACTTTATGGTTTAAAAGAACAGTTTTACACCTACCAAATATATAAAAAATAAAATAAAATTGAAAGTGTATACAAAACAAAAATAAATGGCAAAAATGGGACCCAAAAAAAGAGAAAATAAGTGAGAGGTTTAAGTCCAGTAACACCAATACTTTCTTCTCACCAAAAACAAACATACCTCCCCATAAGGAACATAGAAGATCATTATCTCCAGATCACCATGAAAACTTGAATTCCTCCAATACATCGGGGCATTTAGAGAAACCAATAAATACTAAAAGCAAAATGGTTTCTCAGGAAAGTCTGGTCGCAGCTTTGGACAATTTGTATAAAAAAAATCAGAAATGATTTAAATGCCCATATTACGGACTTGAAGTTAGAAGTGATTGAACTGAAGCAAAAAGTATTAAAGGGACACTCCAGGCACCCAGACCACTTCTGCCCATTGGAGTGGTCTGGGTGCCAACTCCCACTACCCTTAGCCCTGCAAGTGTAAATATTGCAGTTTTCATATATTACATTGCACGGTTAACTCCTCCTCTAGTGGCTGTCTAGACAGCCAGTAGAGGACACTTCCTGGTTTATATCACAGATTTTCTGTGCTATTGCGTCGCTGGACGTCCTCACGCGTCGCTAAAATCCCCATAGGAAAGCATTGAAAGCATTTTTCAATGCTTTCCTATGGGGAGGTCTAATGCGCGTGCACGGCATTGCCACGCATGCGCATTAGGTCTCTCCCGCTGCCGGCTGCGCATGCGCAATAGTTCTCCCCCGCCGGATGTCGTCGGTGGGGGAGAAGCACGTGCGGACCCTGAACCAGCGCCGAGGGACATCGGCGCTGCATACAGGTAAGTCACCGAAGGGGTTTTAACCCCTTCAGCAACCTGGGATGGGGGGTGGGAGAGGGGACCTGCAGTGCCAGGAAAACAGATTGTTTTCCTGACAGTGGAGTGTCCCTTTAATACAAGATGATACTATGAAAGACTTACGTGATGAAGTAAAACTCCTTTAAACTCAAAATTCTCTGCTGATAAATCAGTTAAAAATCCTGGAAATAAGGACTGCAGAAATTGAAGACAGATTAAGAAGAAATAAGCTAAGATTCAAGGGAATATCAGAAGATATCAAACCAGATATGTTGGAGGAATTTTTAACCCCTTAAGGACCAAACTTCTGGAATAAAAGGTAATCATGACATGTCACACGTCATGTGTCCTTAAGGGGTTAAAGGAATATATGGCACAGTTTATAAATATACAAAAGTTGGGTCCAACTATATTTGAAAGAGTGCATAGAATCCGTAAACCAGCCAATATAATATCGACTGAACCAAGAGATGTGATAGCACAATTTTTAATCTGTGCAGGTAAGGATTCTCTGCTAAGAAATATCCGATTTAATAAGCTTCTGGATTCAAAATACTCGGAAATCTCTATGTTTGCTGTTTTATCCCTGGCTACAAGGAACAGCTGCAAACATTTCAAAGACATCACTACAACATTGAGAAATAATAATATCTTAACGATCTGTATAGATGGGGTTTTCTCACCAAGCTTTTCATCTATTATGGAGATAAAAGTATAACTATAAATGACCCTACAGATGATCTAGACAAATTGGGTATTCATATAGGGAAATAATGTATCTGGTTAAAGATGGAAGGAGAGTATCATTCTAGCCCATCGTATATTTATAAGATTCTAGTATTATTTCCCACCCAATCTCGATTGTAGAAATGGATTCTACCACATTGGAATATGAGAATAAAACCTCCTAATATTAATCTTAATATGGTATCCCTGGGAACATAATAGCATATGAGAACTCAAATACGGGACACTTTAATGAAAACTTCCTGCCTTGGCTAAGTGTAAATAATAATCTAACTACTGAATGGTAGGGATATTAGGACACAAGAATTGGAGAGAAAGTCTATATCAGACGTACCAAGAAGAGATATGGGAAATGACATCTTCATAATATAAGGCAACTCTCAATCGATCACAAAGATAAAAAATGAGAGTATAACCTAATACATTATACAGCATAATTTATTTTAAATTCCCATTTGGATTGACAATTTAATAAGATCTTGCCAAATCTTAATTAAAGGAAAGTTATTAGGATTACAATTAATACATTCAGATAATTCGTAGACATATCCAAAGCGACTTATGAGAGAGTTATTTAAATCTAAAAAATAAATGTTTGATATCTAAAAAGTTTCAGGACACTATCATGATGAAAAGGAAACTAGTAAGAGGGAAATTTAAAAAAATACTTTATACATTAATATTAGCACTTAATAGGGATCCTCAGAAATGAGCAGGAAGATACATCAAGGAGAAGGAACAGAAATAAGCAGGAAGGGACATTAAGGAGCAGAACAGGTCAGCAATGAGCTGGAAGGGGCAGATGTAGCACAAACATAAAGTAAGAGAAGGAGCAGAAATGAGCAGGAAGGGGCACAAAGGTAAAGTAGAAGACGGAGCAGCAAGGAGCAGGAAGGGGCAGCAAGGAGCGCAAAGGTAAAGTTGGAGAAGGAACAGGAAGGGACAGCAAGGGGCAGCAAGAAGCACAAAGGTAAAGTAGGAGATGGAGCAGAAAGGGATCAGAAAGAGAAAGGAGCAGAAGGGCACAAAAGAAGCAGAAAGGTGAAGGAGCCAAGGAGGAGAGAAGACAGTGTCAGAAGAAAAAGAAGACCTTGTTAAATGAAGGAGAAGAAAAGGAGATTGGAGCAGGAAGGACAAGTGAAGTGAACCCTCCACTTTATTCTGGACTCCACATCATAAGGCTTTGGTAGGGCCTGATAGGGAAACTTTGGACCTTCTCATCTCCCCAGGTAAAAAA